TTGAAATGTATATACTAAGCAAATGTTCGAACGTTAACAGTCAATACTTCAAATATCCAGATTTTTTTGGTTGTTATGAGTAATTTGACTACGTATTTAAAATAAATAGGCTTTTTTGCGATTTCCAACTTTTCCTTCCTGTATTCCGCACATGTTTCCGAATATTTATTTATTCCCAAAATTGGATCTCTCAATTAAATGTTAGAGAATCTCAAAATACCTTTTTTTCACTCTCTAAGATGTGTTCATGGTACCATTTATAACGCCATTTTGCGTGTGGATAGATCCCAGCCCAACTTTGAATCCCATCATATCACTTTGGTCTTCGGCTAACAATGTTAAAGAGATACACACGAGATATCTATTCAGGACTCATGCATTTACGGATTAGATCTCCCGAACGATTTCTCCTAATAGAACATAATTAAGAACTAAAAAAATCAATAACGGTTACATAAGATCTTATTGTAACTCTGGTTGCAAGAAATAAGATAATGCTGTTTGGGATGTTGTAGCCAACTTAAGAATCGACGGTTTTTCCAGGAGCCTTAAGAAAATCCTGAGCAAGCATGGGAATAATGTCCCATCAACTTCCCCTTGAGTAGCGTACGGGCTTCCCTTTGTGTAATCCCGGGTTCGATTCCTGGTCGAGGCAAAGGTAGAGTTGTATCTGTCCTTTAAAATCGTCTCAGTTTCTATTGCTGTGTGACGAAGAAAATCTCAAGCAAGCAGAGTTACCTGCTTAGCTGGTGAAGGGAGTGCGTCATGTACACCTTATGTCTCTTACCCAACAAGCGTGAGAATTAAACTAGGCCCAGGCTTGGGTTATCATTAGGTATCCGCCAAAGGCAGACAATCGACTCGAAATGCCGAATACATACACCTCCGCCATCATTCTCAGGGAGAAATGCCCACTTAGGTGGCTCAGGGCACAAAATGACATCGCAACAGTACCTCTGACCGGGAGGACCGATGATGGCAGGACTTTTGGCACCGTCTATATAATTAGGTCGAATTCAAGCGCTATCGAGAATTCTAGCAGCCGGCTGCTCTGATCGATAGTTTTCCTAAGTTTCTCCGATCAATACCAGGCGAATATCGGAGAAGTATCCTGACAGTTGCGCCACAGACCGCACGCTACATTTCTTTCTTCTTCCTTGTTCTTTCCTCACCCCTGTTTCACACAAGCATACACCACGTTACCATACATGCTGGGAGACCAGTTGCGAGCTTAGAGCTTGTCCCGACTGGAGCGGTAGCCTGCAGGTGGGAGATACCTGCTTGGGGTAAACCCGCTAGTCGACGTGTAGGTCAGCGCTGTATCTCACCGTCCAGGGAGGAGATCACCGCTAGATACCGACGAAAGAAGACACTACACTTACAGGATTAATGAGTTTATTAGTAGTTGACTCGTCCTGCAACATGAAATAATCAATCAATCAATGAAGGAGATAGTAACCTTTTTAACTTGAAGGAAGGGAGCCCCCAGATGAATTATAAACAGACGTAAGTAAAGTTCATTATTTTATTTCATGAGCCACCTCATTTCTGTTTTCAATAGTTTCGGGGATTGATTGTCCCCATCATCAGACAAAAGGAGTTGAGTGTTTTAAAGTTCATTGTTTTCGTCTTCGTTGATGGAAACAATCAAACCCCGAAACTGTTGGAAACAAAAATGACGTGGCTCATGAAATAAAATAAAGAAGGTCACATACGTCTGTCTATAATTCATCTTGGAACACTCCCTTCCTTTAAGCTAAAACACTATCCAAAACAGGGTTTATACGAAAGTAACGAGTTGTGCGGCGCCCGTGTGTTGCAGGCGCAATGGCCCGGCTGCCCTCCGTCACTTGCTGCTGCGTGGCGCTGTCCCTGATGCTGCTACTCGCGCACGCTGCGCCCTCCTACGGCGACTACGACAGTAAGTGCACGCCCCCACCCCGCTGCACTCGATACGTTTTTGTTTTCTGATTTTGTTTTGTTTTTTATTTATTCTTGAAAACAATCACAGTAGTTTGAACACAGTAGTTATATAGCACCCCCCCCCTGCACTCTGTTTTTGCTTTTATTTATTCTTGAAAACCATCACAGTGTTTTGAACATTTTCTACAAAATGGTGATTTTTTTTCTTTGACTGTATAAAAGAGAGTCGTATAAAAGAAACTGCATGTCTAAGCAAGGTATACTTCTAATTTTCATTAAAACCTCTGACATTTAGAAACTTACAAAAAAATTATATTTAAAACCCTGAGGGTTCTCGTTTAGAAAGTTGTTTGAGCATTCGACTCAATGGAATATCGTGATTTTGTATTTAAATGAAAGGTAGTGGACTTCAGATGTTCTATTTCCTATTTGCTAATCGTTTGTTGAGTGTAAACATTAAATTTTAATGAAATAGTAAAATTAATAGAACTAGTACTTATGCATCGTCATTTGTTCATTACGCCTTTGTAGGAGCTGTAATCGATCTATTGAAAGCAATCGACATTTTCTATTCGAGAAAACGTGTGTTGATGCTAGAGAAGCTAATATAGCGATTTCTCTTAATTTCAAAGTGTTTTGAAATACAAATATTTGACACTAAGTAAACGCAATGTTTAGCAATTGTTTAACACATGTATCCTTTCTAAACAAAATCAGTTGTAATAATTTTGTGGTGTATTACGTTTCTAAGATAAGGTGGGCCGTAACATTTCTTTGCCATATTTATCTACAGCGCACGTGTACAGATCTTGGAAAATATAAAACATTTCCATTACATTTTCAGAAAGATGTTGAACTTTGAGTTCACAGTGAATACAATTGTACTGTTCCAGAATGTGTAAACCTCATTTATTTCATTATTCTTCGAGAATTAATACTGAACGACATGAAACAATATATTTGGGGTTTTCTGTAGTGAATATGAAGGACTTTTATAACTTTTGAACATTCACATTTCATTTTCGGTGTGCATCATTGATGCTCGAAATTGCAAGATATGTTGCAACTTTCCAAGCCATTTTACATGTATATTCATGTTGCTTAAATGTCTTCTGTGTAGAGTCATTCAACTGCACCTTAAAAGATGTCGTGCAATTTTTTAAACATATGAGTAATTGTTGAGTAATAACATATGAAATATTAAAATAAATGATAATTAAAGATAGAATTAATTAGTGATGCTGACTACTTCTAACAATAAGATGGGGGAATTGTTTTACGAGAAGAAAGGAAGCATTGACCTGAAAGTTTCTGACAAATGCACGAGCGGTCTTGGAGAAAGCATGGGCAAGAATCTACTCTGACAATATTTAATTGGATTCTAGAATATACTCTATATCAATTAGGAATGTTTTCTTCGCATTCTAAGATTCAATCAATAAAACGTTGATAGAAAACATTTTCAATTATTGTGAACATTTACACGTCGTAACTTTTTTAATTTATTTATATTTTAAATTTTATTTGTTATTATATTAATGTTTTAGAATAAGACTGAATGAAAGGAATTATTTAAGAATTTATTGAAAAAAACAAAACAATATCAGCGTAACGTAACACTAAACTAACATCCCCTATCCCCACGTAACGCAGGGTAACACTGCCTCATTCCTCTGTAGCGTTACGTACACACTTCGCACGATCTCCCGCCATCTCGCAGTTCGGCGTCTCACAGAGCCCTGTGCTGCCCTCAGGTGTGCGCGATCTGTACGAGCTGCTGCTGCAGAAGGAGGCCTTGGAGGGCCGCCTGGCGCCGCCGCAGCCGCAGCAGGCGCACGAGCTCGTGCGCAAGTCCAACCGCTCGCCGTCACTGCGCCTGCGCTTCGGCCGCCGCGCCGACCCGCTCTTCACGGTGAGCACCGCCGGCGAACATCCTGTCCCAGTTCAGTAGCGTAGACAGGGCCGGAGTAGCAAAACGAGGGCCCCCGGGCTAACAAAGTCTAGGTAGAAAAAAGTTATACGTAATAAAAGTAATAAAATAATAGTAATGATAATGGTAATGATTATCATTAATAATGATAATAATCATAATAATTATAATAGTTATAATAATAATAATAATAATAATAATAATAATAATAAATCTTCATCCTATCACCTCATAATTCGTAATTCAAGGCGTAACAACCTTGTCTTACTGAGGGATTCATCTGAAAAGCTAATTATAATAGTTACACACGTTAATCGTGTAGCGTTGTCAGAAATGGCCGATACGCAAATAATAATAATAATAATAATAATAATAATAATATTAATAATAATAATATTAATAATAATAATAGTACTAATAATAATAATAATAATAAATTGCTTTGATTAAATAGTTTACACATAAAAATAACAATCTATGTGGTATGAACTTTCCTCCCTTTTTCTTGAACATTTTTTTCATTGATATTGTTGAAAATAATTTTTCTGGGAGCCCTGAGCAACAGCCCCTGCAGCGCCGCCTTAAATTCAGCCTTTTGTGTAAATGAGTTAAGGCTCTCACACGAAACCAGTCTTTTTAAACGAGGTCTCTACAGAAAGAGAATTTAATGGTGGCTTGACGAATCGCACTTTTAGCTTGTCACAAAACTTGCAAGTAAAAATATTTTCAGATAGTCATTAAAACAAATAAAATCGTAGCACAACAGGAACTGAGTGTAGCCTGTGACATTTTACAGAATCTGTGATATGACACATTCAACAAACAAATTTTAATTTTCTCTCCCAAAATATGTATCTGGATCCGCCCTTGTATCAAGGAAAACAAAAAGCAAACTGTCGAAAGGAAACTAAGAGAAAACGAAAAACGGAAAGCAACTATTTCATTTTGCGTGTTATAATCGCCATATTAAAAGCAGTTGACATTTTTGTTGTCCGATAAGTAGTTCGATTTCAGGTGTTTCAAATTGGTTTCAAAATAACTAAATAATAGTAAACTAATGAAAACTGCCAGCATGCGAATGCCTGTTTGAAATGCACTTTTGCATTTCAATCAGCATTCGCATGCGGCATTGGAAACGAAGAGTATGCAATTGGCTGATGTTAAGATCACAAAATTACTGGGTATCTCATTTCAGTGAATCCTCAAATAGAATCTCCATATATCTCTATATGTCGCGACGATATAACTGCCTGGCCTTCGGGAAAATTTCGAAATGTCCTCCTCCAACAAGTATATCGACCTTTCTGAGTTAAATTACATCATTGTCGCTCGATTAACAGAAGAATGGACGGTAAAACGTTCATGCCGCAAAGTGAGAAAACGTAGGTAGAAACTGCCCTCAGGTCTCTTTACAACATGAATGTCAGTGCTATCCCTGCAAATTCGCGATCCCTACGAGTTTAACAAAAATGTGATATGTGCCATTATTTTAAGAGCCCCTTATTTTATCTGTGGAAGCAAATTCAAAACAAATATTTGGGGAGGTTTTTGAGAAAATATTAAGCAGAAAATACGTGAAAATGACTCGTTCTTTTTTTCAAAAAGTGTACATTAACTTTTTTAAAGAGCTTATTTTTTGAACAGGTTTTGTTTAAAGCAAACATCTCTATCTTCAACCTTGTAGTTTAAAAATGTTAACTTATCAAAAATAGAAATTAGTCTAGCACCACATATTTAATCGTCGCTTTAATTTATTCGAAGAGAAATTTTAAAAAAATTGTCCCTGTTTTTGAGAAAATAATTATTTTAATTTTTTTTAAATTAGCTTTATTTCACAGAAAATTACGCAAACATTACTCACATTTTTCATAAATTCTAACTTATCTTTTTTCAAGATGTCTGTAAAGAACAGATTTTCTTAAGGAAAAAATCTCTATCTTCAATATTGTAGAAGTAGAAAGACGCCGAAAAAATTGAACTTCTGCAGTTTTCGAAATATTGAGATTTCAACAAAAATGACACGTGTACAATTCTCAAACGTCCTTAATACTACCTAAAGACAAAGTTAATCAAGAAATTTGTAGACTTTGGGAAAAATATTGAAAATGTTTAGGCTTCATGTAAAAATCAACAAAAATCAAAATAACCTTTTGAAAGTCGAAGGGCCTCGAGTTCATTTGAATCGATTGGGAATGTCAGTTATGGAGAAAAATCTGACTGAAAAGTTTAGGCGTTAGCGCTTACCACAGACTCTTTTGCCGTCAATCGATTTTTCAGTTTCAAGGACCCTCAAAACAAGGGTTCTGACTAAGCAGCGTGTAGAGGAAGTAATTTACTACATAATGGAACAAGATTTATCCCCTTTTTGTTGCCTGAGCTCGTCAATAACATTTTTTGTGTCGAAAATTCGCGAGTTTCGGCCGCACGATTACAATACTTTTTCTTCTTATAAAGTAAGGGCCAGAAAGTAAAAATCGAGGACATTTATTTTCAGTGTTTACATACTATTATACTTTCGTTTGGATTGGGCGAGTTTCCAAGTGAGTTTATCTCTAGTGTTAAGAAAGTGTTAGGAAATGTTAAAAGTGTTAAGTGAGTTAGTAACTGTAAGAAATGAAAAGTGGTAGGACTTGTACAGGGTTAAGAAAGTTTAGAATAGAAAGAAACAGAATAGCTGAAAGTGATTTCCGAATTATATACACCAAACTACAATAATTGTAAGAATAAGCCAACCACCCACCCTCGCCTTTGCCCTTAATGCAATTAAACCAGGCTAATAATAATAATAATAATAATAATAATAATAATAATAATAATAATATACTTTCGTTTGCGCTGCTAGTAAATATCCAGATTTCCGTAAGATCTCCACACAGAGATTGTAGATATAATGCTAGCTATAAAAGATCCAAAAAGATGGTCACAACTCGTGCTCATTGAGTGCTTGTGAAACAGTTGCAAGTTTTATCGTCTGAAGATATGAATGTTCATGTGTTGCCATTCGGAAGTCACTGAGGCTTACACGTCCGACCTCCATTTACCGTAACAAAGTATATAATAGGATACCGTGAATCAGTGTCCAATGATCTTCAAGGAAGAATTAAGAACAACACATGAAACCGTGAGAATGCAAATTATTCGTTTTTCGGCATCATCTACTCTTTCCATTATTTTTTCCTGTCAATGGAGTCATTTTAATTTCTTTCCGTTTTAAAGTAATGTATCCTAAGAATATTTCCTAACTCATTTGCCACTATAAAAGACTCGAAACGAAATAACAAACACACAATATGTATTTCTAAATAAGCGTGATTGATTTTATTTTTTACATTTGATTTTGAAAACCAAATACTCCTCGTGATCTTAAATAGCTTATTGATTTGTTTAACTACGTTCATGATATTTGACTCAGTTTATATTATTGTTTCCAGTTCTCAATTTTCAATTATATATTTTAACAGTTACATAATAAAACTCTTATAATGAATGTTTGTTTCAGGGATCATCTTTCCTGGATCACTCTTCGGTGGAAGGCCCTGTAGAAAACTGAAAAGAACATTTGAAATTTGGTGATGAATCTCTTCTATGTTCCTTGTAATCTAGATGTATATTTTTTTTAATTTCATTTAGTTCTGTCCTCTCAATTTACCTCTTGGTCATGGTCTAAATATATCTCAGAACATATGTATAGAACTACATAGACAAATAATTGATGTTCTGAATTATGTGTAAGATATTAATTATTCTTCCAAAGTAGCTGTACAATGGAATTCCTAATTAAAAATTAATCTTTAAGGCAGAACTGAAAATGGCTGCTGTGTGAATTATTTCGTGTATATTATTATTTATTTGTGTCCATCCCTTTCATTTTAAATGTTCAACTTCCACTACACATCTGAATCTGTAATAAGTTACTGTAACAAATTTTCACTGTGAAATAACAAAGAAATATAATTGTAAAGAAAATATTAAGAATAAAGATAAAGCACCGCCATTTATTGTGAGGTAAAATGTGTATTATACCTCCTATTGAAGATGTATAAGTAGATGTAGAAGTCGTATAACGAGATTGATAATATTTTAGTTTATTTTCTTTAAATCTTTGTTAAGTTATTTCTAAAATCATATAAAAGTATTTGTCGTCTCTACGCGGTAATGATTACGAACTGTCACAAATTTATTAGAAAGGAAAATTATATAGAGAGAGATATACGAAGGGCATTCAAAGTTTCCGGAATTGCTTTGCCGTCACCAAGCTAGCAATAATACAGGGCTCACATTCTTGTGGTAGGGGGCTGAGTATGTTCGCAAGCGGGCCAAATTGGTCTGGACTTATTTCATTGCACAGTGGTCTCACTGCTCTGTGGCACGTGGAGGTGAGTGGTGTTCGCAATTCGGCGTACTCTCGCAGTTCGAACAGCGTGGGAACAGCAAGTTCATGTGCAAACTTGGAAAATTGGCTTCAGAGACTCTATCGTTCTTGCTACATCGTGGCCTGGACAGTCTGTTACAGAAAATTTCTGTTTAAGGTTTGCAGAGTGTGCATGATTCGCTATTATTATTATTATTATTATTATTATTATTATTATTATTAAGAATTATTTCAAGTGCAATATATTCATCAGTTGACGACTGTACTGTTAAAATATTGAAATAATAGGACGTTCGAAAACATACATTAAGTTTCATCTGGCCTATTTCGGTCCTGTACCCTGCATAGTTTGCAGATTACGGAAGGACTAGGGAATGGTTGTAATACATGACTCGAAATACCTCTAAGCCACGAACTCAACTTCAAACATTCATTTTTTACACTAGTTTCGAACTAACAGACTTAAGAGTCTAGTACAAATTTTTGGGCTCACCAGTCAACTACTCACAAGGACGTATCACAAGGCCGTTCTTACTTCTAGTAATAGTTTTACGGTTATGTAACCTAATAATAATTTGATAAAACTAATAAAATAACCATAATTTACAATATAATTTATACACAGCCTATGTGATTTTGGGCTTTCAATCTATGTATCTGAATGACTTTGACACTAATTGTTTCCAATACATTGCAAACAAAGTTACATTTCATCATTACAAACTATCAACATGTCACTAGTGATCACTTTTATCTACATTCACTTTTCCAAAAAACGTTTTAGAACATAATATTGACGGGACTTCTCAATTTAACGCAATAATTAGTATTTTTCATATCCTCTAACATTTAATACGTTAAGGAAATTGTGATATATCAAAAACACGTATATTTTTTTCACATTTCTCACCATTTCACCATCCTCTAATAATAGAATGGAAATGCGGCTTTAATATCAGAGAAAAAGAAGTTTTTATGTGCACAATTCTATTGAAGAATTTGGAGCCATTTTTGAGAGAATGACGATGGAACATTTCCCTAAAAATGCGCATTTTTACCTCAATTTCGCAGAGAACTATCGAGTTTTCCAAAAAGTTCGTTTGAAGCACTTGTACTAACCAATAAAATTAATTATTAAAAGCGCTTGCAATGTAAATATTAA